TTATGTCTAAGGAAAGTGGGTTTTAAGAGGGACCATTGTGACCCCTCCTCTTTCCTGTGAATCTACCTTGGGGTGATTTTTAGTACAATCGTTTTCACACTAGTCACCTAGATAATAGTTTAAAGGTGAATCTGTTATTGGTGGAAATTAATCTGAATTTCACAACAATTGGTATCAGAGCTATTGGTTTATTTTATTATGCTATGTGGTTGCGGCTTAGGCTGATCTTCCACATCAGAAAAAAATTTCCTTGGGATAATTGACATTCCGCATTGGCAGCTATTAAATAGAATTTGTAGCAGAAATGGCAGACGCTTCTTCATCTTCAATTTTGGCAAGAAATGTTATGACAAATGTTAGATTTGTAGTGGAGATTTTTTATGGCACCGGTCATTTCGTCATGTGGCAAAGTGAGGTTCTAGATGCCCTATTTCAGCAGGGACTAGACATTGCTATTGAAGGAGAGAAACCAGATGATGTTGAGGAGAAAGAATGGAAGAGGATCAATAGAATGCCATATGGTATTATTCGATCGTGTCTTTTTAGAGAGCAGAAGTATGTATTTTCTAAGGAAACTTCTGCAAGTAAATTGTGGAAGGCACTCGAGGAGAAATTTTTGAAGAAAAGCGGTCAGAACAAACTCTACATGAAAAAGAGATTGTTCTGCTTCAACTATGTACCAGGTACCACTATGAATGATCACATTAGTAGCTTTAATCAGCTGCTGACTGATCTGATGAATATGGACGTGACTTTTGAAGACGAAGATTTGGCTCTAATGTTGATGGGATCACTTCCTGATGAGTTTGAGTATCTTGAAACTACTCTACTTCATGGGAAGGTTGATGTGTCTCTCAGTGAAGTAACTGCTGCCTTGTATAGTTATGAATTGAGAAAAAAAGACAAACAAGAAAACATAAGTGTCGAAGCAGAAGATCTTGTTGTTAGAGGCCGTTCGAAGAGTCAGAATAAAGGAAGAAGAGGGAGATCGAAGTCAAAGTTCAGATTGAGCAAAGATGAATGTGCCTTTTGTCGAGAAAAAGGGCACTGGAAGAAAGAATGTCCCAGGCTAAAGAATAAAGACAAACTTAAAAGGGCGAAGGATGTCTCAAAATCAAATGTGGTCGAGTATGATAATGCAGATTCAGATTTCGCATTCGCTGCTACGCCATCAACCAGCTGTTCCAGTTCATGGCTGTTAGATTCAGCTTATAGCCACCATATGACCCCCAATAGAGAATGGTTCTTTGATTTTAAAGAACTAAAAGGTGGAATTATCTACACAGCAAATAATTCTCCTCTTGACACACTTGGGATTGGTTCAATTCGCTTGAGGAATCAGGATGGATCAATCAGAACCTTAACAGGTGTCCATTATGTACCAGATTTAATGAGAAATCTCATCTCTGTGGGAACCTTAGAGTCAAAAGGTTTAGAAGTGAGGGCAAAATATGAGATTATGAGGATTATCTCTGGTGCACTGGTGATAATGAAGGGAATCCGGAAAAGAAACAATGTGTATTACTTTCTGGGTAGTATAATTGTTGGGACAGCAGCAGTGGCAGCTTCTACTGATGAACAGGAGTCAGAAGTAACCAGGTTATGGCATATGCACTTGGGGCATGCTGGTGAAAAATCCTTGAAATTGCAGATAGATCAAGGATTATTGAAGGGTGCCCGGGCTTGAAAATTAGCTTTTTGTGAGCATTGCATCAAAGGAAAGAAAACGAGGGTGAAATTTAGAACAACAATCCATGATACTAAAGGTATTTTGGATTATGTTCATTCAGATGTATGGGGGTCTTCCAAGACAACTTCATTGGGAGGAACACACTATTATGTCACCTTTGTTGATGATTTTTCCCGGAGAGTTTGGGTGTATACAATGAAGACAAAAGATGAGGTACTAGGATTTTTCCTTAAATGGAAAAAGATGGTGGAGACTCAAACAGGCATAAAAATCAAACGTCTCCGTACAGACAATGGTGGAGAGTACAAAAATGATCCATTTCTAAAAGTTGTGAAGAGGAAGGTATTGTCAGGCACTTCACTGTCAGAGGTACACCACAACAGAATGGGGTGGCAGAGCGTATGAACCGAACATTAGTGGAGAAGGTTCGGTGTATGTTGTCTAATGCTGGGTTAGGCAAAGAATTTTGGGCTGAGGATTTGGTCTATGCTTGTCACCTTGTCAACCGCTTACCATCGACTGCTATTGGTGGTAAAACACCATTAGAGAAATGGTTTGGAGAACCTGCTACAGATTATGATTCCTTACATGTGTTTGGTTTCACTATATACTACCATGTTAAGGGGTCAAAGCTGGATCCAAGAGCAAAGAAGGTGATCTTTATGGGGATCACCTCTGGTGTGAAAGGTTATCGTCTTTGGTGTCCAGAAATAAAGAAAATAATCTTCAACAGGGATATTACCTTTGATGAATCTACCATGTTGAGAAATGTGACTTCAGAAAAATTGGAACAGACAGATGGAACTCCCAAACAGGTGGAGTATGAAGGAAGCAGAATTGTCCCAGCCAGTAAAGAAACTGATGTTGACTCTCCTATGGTAGAAGAAGAGTCAGATAAAGAAGAGGTTCAAACCCAAGAACCTCCACAGCAACATGAATCAATTGCACTCAGAAAGGGAAAGAGGACCATTAGACAACCTGACTGTTATGCTGATATGGTCTCTTTTGCATCACCAATTGCAATTGATGACGTTCCTGCCACTTTTAATGAAGCAGTCCAAAGTTCAGAACATAAAAAGTGGAGGATCGCCATGAATGAAGAAATGCAATCCCTTCAAAAGAATCAGACGTGGAAACTAGCTAGTCTTCCGAAGGGAAAGAAGGTAATTGGGTGCAAGTGGGTATATGCAAAGAAACATGGATTTCTTGACAAGAATAACATCCGCTACAAAGCAAGATTGGTGGCTAAAGGCTACGCTCAAACGGAGGGAGTTGATTATAATGAAGTATTTTCTCCAGTTGTAAAACATTCCTCGATCAGAATTTTGTTGGCTTTGGTAGTACAGTTGGATTTGGAACTAGTTCAGATGGATGTAAAAACTACATTTTTACATAGAGACTTGGATGAGGATATCTACATGACTCAGCCAGATTGATTCAAAGTTGCTGAAAAAGAAGAGATGGTGTGCAAATTAGAAAAATCGCTATACAGATTGAAGCAATCTCCAAGGCAGTGGTACAAGCGATTTGACAAGTTTATGATAGGGCAGAAGTACACAAGAAGCAAATATGATCATTGTGTGTATTTACGCAAGCTACAAGACAGATCCTATATATATATTCTTCTTTATGTTGATGATATGCTGATAGCTTCCAGGAGTCAGACAGAAATTGCGAAACTAAAGACTCAATTGAACAGGGAGTTTGAGATGAAGGATCTTGGTGAAGCGAAGAAGATTCTATGCATGGAGATATCAAGGGATATGAAATTGGGGAGGCTTTGTTTGTCTCAGAAAGAATATCTGAAGAAGGTACTAAAACGTTTTGGCATGAATGAGAAGTCAAAACCAGTTAGTACACCTCTTGCTCCTCATTTCAAGCTCGATGCATCCATGTCACCTAAGGATGATGCAGAACGGGAATACATGTCAAAGGTTCCGTATGCAAGTGTTGTTGGTAGCTTGATGTATGCAATGACATGTACGAGACCTGATATTTCACAGGCAGTTGGGGTTGTGAGCCGGTATATGCATGATCCTGGAAAGGAGTATTAACAAGCTTTGAAATGGATTCTGCGGTATATTCTGAACACCGTAGATGTTGGTTTGGTCTTTCAGCAAGACAAACAAGATGGTCAGTGTGTAGTTGGGTATTGTGATTCAGACAAACAAGATGGATTCTGCGGTATACTCTGACTATTGGTTATGTGTTTACATTTGCAAAGGCACCAATCAGTTGGAAGTCCACCTTACAGTCAACAGTGGCTTTGTCTACTACAGAGGAGAGTATATGGCAGCTACAGGCTGTGAAGGAGGCAATTTGGCTTCAAGGGTTGCTTGGTGAATTGAGAATAGAACAACAACACATCAAAGTGCACTATGATAGTCAGAGTGCTATTCATTTAGCAAAGAACCAGGTTTACCATGCAAGGACGAAGCACATCGATGTTTGATATCACTTTGTACGAGAAATTCTAGAAGAAGGTTGAGTCATAATCCAGAAGATTCGGACCACTGAGAATCCTGCTGATATGTTGACAAAAGTGGTAACTGCGGTCAGGTTTAAACATTGTTTATACTTGGTCAATATTGTTACAAATTGAAAGATGAATTTGCATACACTACTGAAGATTGGATTTTTGAGAGATGTGTGTGGAATTTGCCAAGGTGGAGATTTGTTGGTTTTTTGGCAAAGTCCCACATTGGTTGTGTATAAGGAGGAGGGGAAATTCTTTTGTTATAAGTAGAGCCCTCCTCCTCCTTAGTTGATCATCCCACAAATATAAGCCTTCTTCACTATTAAAGGTTATTTGTACTCTTTCTCTCTTTGTAATATTTCTTCTATTAGTGAAATATTTTGGTGTTCTCTTTTATGTCTATTTAATAGCTATTGTCGGGTATAGTTGTTGTTAATTATTGTCCTATTAAAATTACTTGTCTTGGTAGTTCTGTCTAAAGAAAGTGGGTTTTAAGAGGGACCATTGTGACCCCTCCTCTTTCTTGAGAATATACCTTGGGGTGATTTTTAGTATAATCGTTTTCACACTAGTCACCTAGATAATAGTTTAAAGGTGAATATTTTATTGGTGGAAATTAACCCGAATTTCACAACATTATTGTGCTCGAATTTGCCCTCCATAGCCATAGTATTTCAGAAGCCCTTCATATTGCCGCCAATTCTTCTGTAACCATGAACATTTCACAATATATAATTTAAGAGAAGCTTTGTGATTTAAGTTCTCACCTCAAGGAAGACTTTCTTCGGTAAGTAATTTTCTATGCCAATCCGAGCAGCTGTCGTGAGTATTTTTAGAGCTTTCCCTCCCTTCAATTGTAGGGGACACAAGGTATCAAATGCAAGGCTTAGAATATATGCGTGCACATGCCAGTGTACATTATTTAGATTTCATAATTCAAATTAATTAATTTGAAAATATCAAACACTGATCAAATTTGACTCTATTTAGTCAAACATACTCAACAGGCACAAAGGACCACTGATGCATCAAGCAAACTGCAAAAAGTCTAAAACACAAAAGATAATACTTACTTTTCCAATGAGGATGATTTTCTGGGAGTCTTTCTCAACAACAATTTCTACTTGTATGAAATCTTTTGCATTTGGCCTTGTTTTGTAGTTCACCATATTTACCTGGAAATTTTTGAAGATTAAATCTGATTTGGTGGGGTTTGCTTGATGATTATATCTTGCTGGCAATCTTAATAACTATAGTCCATACCTGGCATGCATAAGGAACCTCGTTCCGATACTGCATGAATATCTTTTCTCTGATAATTTCAACTACAAAGAACCTTTCTGGGTGTTCACTTACAATGTCCCGGAAAAATATAAACAATAAGCACTGTTCACATGAAAGAAGCAGTTCATTTTTCAAGTCCCACCAAAAGTTGATCAGAAATTTCCTCTTGGAGGAAAATTGAGTAACACTTAACATGAAGCCAAATAAAATCCTAGATTATTGACAAAAGTGAAACTTTAAAATCATAAAATGTCCCCAATATTATACAAGTTACAAGCTCAAGAAATGAAAGCGCGCTTTCTAACTACGCTCGTGATATGTTTTCCTATTCAACTAGTCCAGAACATCAACAATCCTTTTATAGCTTAATAGGGTATCAAGGAAACAGCAGAACTGAACCTAGCAGCACTTGACTCTCGGTATATTTACAGTCAAGTAAGTTCAATGTTAACCTAAACAAAGTAATCTAAGTCAATTGATGTTGATTGCTTTGAATTTGTACATACCTTTGGATAGTAAGGAATACAAAGTCGATTGACAACATCGTGCGAAGATTCAAATGGGGTTCGAATACCGCTTATCCTCATTTTTCTTTTGTAAAATAGAGCAGGCTTTGCCAACCTATCTCTCATGGTGGGTTAGGCAATCGGAAAATACAAATTCAAAATTTTGTTTTGTTATTCAAGATCTGCAATGCAATCGTTCAAACTTCAGGAGCTCTATAGATCCAGCTTCTCCGAGAAAAATATAGAATTCTTCTTATTTACCCTATTCAATTCATCGTCCAAATTGCTCCCCTTTGAGCGCTTGATTGCAAACGCATGGCCCTCACCGCAAACACTAGTTGGTCTATTGGTAATGGAGGTTCTATTAATTTCTGGCATAATCTTTGGATTCCAAACCTTGGTATTATGTCCAACTATGTTTCAACCATAGCAACAATTGATGATGAGTTATGGGTCTGTGATATGGTTTGTCAAAATGCTAACTGGAATAAGCATCTTCTGCAAAACATGATTCACCCGTTAGCCCTGAAGTATTCAACCCCGTTCTATGAATAATGGTTTGGATCGATTATTTTTGAAATAAGATCCAAAGTATTGTTTTTCCTTCTGTAGTGCTTATGTCACTCTTGACAGGATGAATTGGACGGATAAAAATCCTCAGTGGTGTTTAATTTAGTGAATTAGTGTGTCGGAATGTATCCCAAAAAATCTTACTTGCAATTCAGGATAAGTTCTTCACAAATCAAATCCGATGTGCTAGACATATTGGTTCTGACTCTTCTTGTACTACTTGTAATCATGCGACTGAATCGCTTTTTCATAGCTTTAGGGATTGCCTCTCCGTTCGGGTTAATTTGAGGCTTGGAACGCTTTGGTGACAAGGTATGGCCTATAGTCTTTTTTTCGATCTTCCTCTTAAAGCTTGACTACTTTATAATCTGCATATTGATACTGCTTGTTGGATCATAAACTTGATCCATTATGGGAGCCTAAACCCAAACCCAAACTAAATTGATGTCATTGCTTACATCATTTAAGTAAAGATGTCATTGCTTACATCATTTAAGTAATGATGGCATTGCTTACATCAATTTAGTTAAGTGAGAGTTAGGTATTTGTTGAATTTGTAATGGTTTAAATTAGTTTATTTGTGTGGTATATGATTATTCTTGAGTAGTATAAATACCCCTCCCCATTTTAGTTTTAAGCATCAAGAAAAATTAAGAGCTTTTAAGTGAGTGAAGAAGGAAAGTCTTATAAGAGTGAGTTGTAGTTCTTGTTTTTGAGTGAGAGTGCTCTTGTAATATTTGTTTGAGTTTCAATAAAAGTTGTTTGTGTGAGTGTTTTATTTCCAACAAAGTGGTATCAGAGCGAGTTGGAAAGATCGAAGATCTCGATGAGAGGAATAAGACGCCGCCAGAATTTTCTCAATCTGAGTTTTGACGCACCACCACGTACCGCCGGAAGACTGTTGCTAGAAAATCGAGTTGACTCACCGAGTTGAGATGAGTCAGTCGAGTTGGAGCCCTTGACCGAGTTGTCCAAGTCTCTCCCAAGGTTTTTTCGGCGTTTCGGATTCATCCGTGCAATCGGATTTTACAAAATCTCATTATATTGATAGATATGGCAAATGGTATGGCACCATTCTAAGTTCCGACACTCAACAACAACAACTACGACAATTGGAGTATCAAAATGAAGGCACTTCTTGGATCACAAGATGTGTGAGATATCATAGAGAAAAGTTATAACGAGATTGTGGATGATATTGTTTTTGCTACTCTTACACCAGATCAAAAGACAACTTTGAAGGATTCAAGAAAGAGAGACAAGAAGGCTCTCTACCTCATCTATCAAGCATTAGATGATGATGGTTTTGAAAAGATTTCAAGTGCAAGCTCTAGCAAGAAAGCATGGGAGAAGCTGTAAACCTCTTATAAAGGATCTGAGCAAGTGAAAAAGGTTCGTCTCCAAACATTAAGAGGTGAATTCGAATCCTTACACATGAAAGCATCTGAGTCTATTTCAGATTATTTCTCAAGAGTAGTAGCTGTTTCTAATCAATTAAAAAGAAATAGTGAAAAGTTAGAAGATGTGATGATAATAGAGAAGATACTCCATTCGTTGGATCCCAAATTTGAGCATATCGTCGTGACGATTGAAGAGACTAAAGACTTGGAAGAAATGAGAATCGAGCAACTCCAATGATCATTGCAAGCATACGAAGAGAAGCATAAGAAGAAGCATGAGTTTACTGAGCAACTCCTCAAGCTGTAACTCAAGGATATGCATGAGATCCAACACAATGATAGAAACCAACGTGGCCAAGGAAGAGGTAGAGGTCATGGACGAGGTAGAAGTTGAGGTCGTGGACGAGGCTGGAATTACAACAACAACAACAATTCCAACAACAACTATGAGAAAGGAGAAAGTTCAACACGAGGCCGTGAAAGAATCAATCCAAACTCAAGGCATGACAAATCTCAAGTTCGATCTTATAATTGTCAGAAGTTTGGCCATTATGCTTCAGAATGTAGAGCTCCCAACAACAAAATTGAGGAGAAGGCCAATTACGTGGAGGAAAAGACAGATGGCAAAGAAACTCTTCTTCTAGCATGAAAGGAAACTGATGGTGGCCAAGCAAATTCCTGGTATCTTGACAGTGGTGCAAGCAATCACATGTGTGGAAGGAAAGACATGTTCGTGGAGCTAGACGAGTCAGTAAGAGGAAATGTTTCATTTGGAGATGATTCCACAATAGCAGTGAAAGGGAGAGGTAACATTCTTATCCGTTTGAAAGATGGGAGACATCAATTTATTTCAAATGTCTACTATGTGCCCAATATGAAAAGTAACATCTTAAGTTTAGGGCAACTGGTAGAGAAAGGTTATGATATTCATATGAATAATTATAATATTTCTATAAAAGATGATAAGAATAACTTAATTGCTAAAGTGCCGATGTCAAAGAATAGAATATTCTTGATCAACATACAAAATGATGTTGCAAAGTGCCTGAAATCTTGCTACAAAGATGCATCATGGCTTTGGCATCTTCTATTTGGGCATCTCAATTTTGGAGGTCTAGAGCTGTTATCTAAGAAGGAGATGGTGAAATGACTACCTCGCATCAACCATCCTGACCAGCTCTGTGAAGGGTGTCTAGTCGGGAAACAATTCAGGAAAAGCTTTCCAAAGGAGTTAGAGACAAGAGCCAAGAAGCCACTTGAGCTCATCCATACCGATGTGTGTGGACCGATCAAGCCAAGCTCTCTCGGTAACAGTAACTATTTTCTTCTCTTCATTGATGATTTTTCAAGAAAAACCTGGGTATATTTCTTGAAACAGAAGTCAGATCTTTTTAAACTCTTCAAGAAGTTCAAAGCAGCAGTGGAGAGAGAAAGTGGTAGAAAGATCAAAGCCATGAGATCCGATCGAGGTGGAGAATTTACTTCCAGGGAGTTTCAAGAGTTCTGTGAAGCAAATGGAATTCGTCGACCAATGACAGTTCCTAGATCCCCCAGCAAAATGGTGTGGCAGAAAGAAAGAACAGAACAATCCTTGACATGGCACGAAGCATGCTCAAAAGCAAGAAACTACCCAAGGAATTTTGGGCGAAGGCAGTAGCGTGTGCAGTCTACTTGACAAACCGATCTCCAAAAAGAAGTGTATCGGGAAAGACACCGCAAGAAGCATGGATTGGAAGAAAGCCTGGAATTTCCCACTTGAGAACTTTTGGAAGTATAGCCCATGTTCACGTACCAGACGAGAGAAGAACGAAGCTTGATGATAAAAGCGAGAGTTTTATCTTCATCGGCTATGATGCAAATTCGAAGGGCTACAAGTTGTACAATCCAAATAATAAGAAGTTTGTGATTAGTCGAGATGTGGTCTTTAACGAAGAAGGAGAATGGGATTTTAACTCTTATACAGATGACTTCAATTTCTTTCCTCAGTTTGAAGAAGATGAGCAGACAATGAGGGAACAACTAGATGAATCTCAACAAGAGCTTGCAACTCCACCCACTTCACCAACATCAACCACTCAAGGAGACTCATCACCTTCGTCATCGTCAAGTGGGAGTCAAAGTGAAAGAGTTGTACAACGTACAAGAAGCCTTATAGATCTCTATGAGGTAACTGAACGACAAGATAATCTTACATTATTTTGTCTGTTTGCCGATTGTGAGCCAGTGAGCTTTCAAGAAGCGGTACAAGAAAAGAAATGGAGAGATGTGATGGATGAAGAAATCAAGGCCATCGAGAAGAATGACACATGTGAACTTACCTCACTTCCCAAGGGACATAAGGCGATAGGTGTCAAATGGGTGTACAAAACAAAGCAAAACGCCAAAGGAGAGATTGAAAGGCACAAGGTGAGACTAGTTGCTAAAGGCTATAGTCAAAAGGATGGAATTGACTATGATGAGGTATTTGCTCCTGTTGCTCGATTGGAGACTATCATACTAATCATTTCTTTGGCAGCTCAAAACAAGTGGAAGATACAACAGATGGATGTAAAGTCCACCTTCCTAAATGGAGTTCTTGAAGAGAAAGTTTACATTCAGCAACCATCAGGCTATGAAGTCAAAGGGCATGAAGACAAGGTGTTGAAGTTGAAGAAGGCTCTTTACAGGCTAAAATAAGCACCAAGGGCATGGAATAGCCGAATCGACAAGTACTTCCAAGAGAATGGCTTCAACAAATGCCCCTACGAGCATGATCTATATATCAAGATCAAAGATGAAGATATTTTGATCGTGTGTCTCTATGTGGATGATTTGATCTTCACTGGAAGCAACCCAAGCATGTTTAATGAATTCAAGGATGTGATGATGAAAGAATTCGAGATGACAGACATGGGGCTCATGGCATACTACATTGGCATTGAAGTTAAGCAACAAAAGGATGAAATTTTCATTTCACAGGAAAGCTATACAAAGGAGATACTAAAGAAGTTCAAGATGGAGAACTGTAAGCCAATAAGCACACCGGCAGAATACGGGATCAAGATGACCAAACATGAAGAAGGCGAAAGTGTAGATCCAACATTCTTCAAAAGTTTGGTAGGAAGTCTACGCTATCTAACTTGCACGAGACCCGATATTCTTCACGCAGTTGGATTGGTTAGTCGCTACATGGAATCTCCAACAACCACCCATTTTAAAGCCACAAAGAGAATTCTTCGCTATCTGAAAGGTACAATTGACTTTGGCTTGTTCTATTCAGTTTTTAATTATTACAAGCTTGTTGGATATAGCGACAGTGATTGGGGTAGAGACATAGATAATCGAATGAGCACTAATGGATTCGTATTTTTCATGGGAGATATTGCGTTCACATGGATGTCAAAGAAACAACCGATTGTCACATTGTCCACTTGTGAAGCGGAATATGTTGCTGCTACCTCATGTGTTTGTCATGCAATTTGGCTTAGAAATCTATTGAAAGAGATAGGTTTGATACAAGAAGAGCCTACCAAGGTTTGTGTCGACAACAAATCAGCCATTGCCTTATCAAAGAATCCAGTATTCCATGATCGAAACAAGCACATCGACATTCGCTACCACTATATAAGGGAGTGTGTTGCAAGAAACGATGTGGAAGTTGAATACGTGAAGTCACAAGATCAAGTTGCCGATATTTTTACCAAGTCACTGAAAAGTGAAAACTTCATAAGATTAAGGAACCTACTAGGGGTCACGAGATCAAGTTTAAGGGGGGGTGTTGGATCATAAACTTGATCCATTATGGGAGCCTAAACCCAAACCCAAACTAAATTGATGTCATTGCTTACATCATTTAAGTAAAGATGTCATTGCTTACATCATTTAAGTAATGATGTCATTGCTTACATCAATTTAGTTAGGTGAGAGTTAGGTATTTGTTGAATTTGTAATGGTTTAAATTAGTTTATTCATGTGGTGTAGGATTATTCTTGAATAGTATAAATATCCCTCCCCATTTTAGTTTTAAGCATCAAGAAAAATTAAGAGCTTCTAAGTGAGTGAAGAAGGAAAGTCTTATAAGAGTGAGTTGTAGTTCTTGTTTTTGAGTGAGAGTGCTCTTGTAATATTTGTTTGAGTTTCAATAAAAGTTATTTGTGTGAGTGTTTTATTTCCAACACTGCTTGCAGTGAAACACATGGATTGTGGAATATTTATTCTCCTTTATAAAATGGCAATTGTGGAAAAGCCGTAATAATCGAATTTTTCAAGGCATTCCTCTTGATTCTCCAACGTGTTTCTACGTTGGTTTTTCTTGGAGCAAGCTTTATTTCGATTCTGTTAAGTAGTTGACTACTATTATTGCTCCACAACCGATCCAAATACATTGGTCACCTCTTGATAATAGATGGGTTTGCATCAATTCAGATGTTGCCCTTTCACAAACAACTCATTAACATTCAACTGGGGACTCTTTCGCACTTCAACTGACGATTGTTTGTTTGATACTTCTGTTCTAGAAGATGAACTTTGGGTTATGCTTAAGGTCTTAAAATAGAGTGGCAATAATGTTTTGAACGTGTTATTATTCAGGCTAACAGCTCTAAGGCTCTTCGTCTACTTTCCTCTCCGTCTATAGACAACCCCTTTGCACTTGTGAGAGCAGTCGCAAATCTGTATAACAGAGCATGGTTTTTAGATTTCAGGAATATCTATTGAGAAACAAATGTTGCGACTGACTTCATCACTAAGATGGACACTCCACTAGATGGTTCTCTTATTATTTTTTGACTCATTTCCGCCTCAATTACTAGATATTCCTCATAAAGATATCTATGCTCCCCATTATATTCACATCAGGAATTGATTTAATGGTTTTGTCCTCATTTTTATTCAAAAAAAGAAACGGCTCTTGAGGATGAGACAAGTAATAGTGAAAGAACATATTGTGGGGGAGAAGTTTAAGTGTTTTAGGAGTAAATTAATAGAAAACGGGTTTTGTCCTCATTTTTATTCAAAAAAAGAAACGGGCCATGAAATTAGCTTGAAAACATGGCCAATCTTGTAGAATTGGCGAATTGCAGCATTGGAGATCTCATCCTTAAGATATTGTGGGGGAGAAGTTTAAGTGCATTGGAGACTTCATCACCGGATTTATCGATTTGGTTCTCAAATGAATTAATTATCAGGAAAAATTTCATCGGAGATTGAAAATTTTCACAAACTCTGGCGGTTTGAACTTTTCAACAATGAATTGACCGGAAAAGTTCCTGTTGGAATGAGAAATTTGTCAAACCTAGAATATTCCGATGCTACTGACAGTGACGACGGAAAGAACGATTGCTGGTAGTGGGGTTTAACTATAGGAGAATGGGTAGTCCGTGACGGTGATAGCAACCGATAAGGAGTTTTGTTTTGAGATTAAAAACTTTGAGGTTTTTTTAAAGATTTTAGAAAAAATTTAACGTTTTTTAAAATATAATAATATTTCTAAATCTATTTAAAAAATAAAATTTTAAAATTATCTAAATGTGTTGGGTGTTATTTAATAAATTCTTGACTTAATATCAAAATAAGTGTCCAAATTATACATCTTTTTTCGAATAGGTACCTAAACTATTTTTTAACTCATCCCGGTGTCTAATATTATAAACGCTGCCACTTTAGGTGTTCGGATCGTCAACGGTGTTAATTTCTCCCGCTAAGTGACACATGTCTCAATCTGATACTTTTAAAAAATTTATTTAAAATTAAAAAATTAAAATTGTATATTTTTAAAAAGAAAATACAAAAAAATTGAAATAAACTTAAAACTTTGAAAACCTTCATTTAAACTCTTAAACCCACGTTGGTTGTCGTCCTTTTCCCTCAACGAAGCTCCACTCAACTCCCCTCCCCTGACGATCAAAACCCCTATGAAATCGTGATCGATCAATGATGATTCGACATTTTATACTGTGAACCTTATGATGAAAATCGTGATCCCATGCAATTATGACAACCAATAGGTGGTAACTACGACGACATATGAGTAGGAGGATGGCAGGGACTACATCGACGATGGTGATCGTGATAAAAAAGGGCGGCGACAGAGGGTTAAGGTTAGGATTTGGAGATTTTAAGGATTTTTGGGTTGTTTTATAATTTAAGAGAAATTAGGATTATATATATAATAATATTTTCAATATTTTTTGAGGAAAATTAACGCCATTGACTATCCGAACACCTAAAGTGATAACGTTTGTAACATTAGACGCCTAGATGAGTCAAAAATAGTTTAAACACCTATTTAAAAAATATATAGTTTGGACACTTATTTTGGTATTGAGCTAAATTCTTTTAATTTTCGTTACGGACTAGACACTTAAAATGATCACTTATTTTATAGTTTGATCACTTATTTTAAAACATAAATAGGAAAATATACAGTTTGATCACTTATTTTTATATCAAGTTGATCATTTATTGCTATTTGGTATTTGTTTGGTTTGATTTTCGGTGGTGATGATTTTGGGATGGGTTCAAGATAGTGATCATAAGTTGTATTCGGCCACTGAAGGAATGTAGAAGTCTATGTTAGGTTTTGCGAGCTTTGAAACAATTGAATGATTGTTACTTTTGTTCTTGGTAAAATTTGTTGATTTACCCTATTCTTTGACTTTTGCAACTTATGAAGGAGAAAGGGATGAAAGATGAAGATGCCGGTGATGTTCTAATTGATCAGGCGATGTTGGTATTGGTTTAATTGATTAAATTAATTAAATTTTAATTTATTTATTTTATTCTTTAAAATAAATTAAATAATAAATTAATAAAAACAACAACAAAAAAAGCTCTAAGTTTTTAGTCTCCAAAAAATAGTTTACATGTAAAAAATTTCTATATCGAAAAGTCTGTATGGAACTAAGCGATTAGCATCTGAAGAATTCTTACATGATTGGGAACATAAAAGATTGAATTCGGGACATGTAAGTAATCAGTTTCTGTCATGGCGTGTATAATTAATGGTAGTTTCCGGGAGGCTTTGACTTTTTTAACTAATGTTCCCCTTTTCTGGGTTTGCAGGGTCCTGGATTTGACCAAAGAGTAGGGGCCACCAGTGACCCAAAACCTGGAGCATATCCTTCCTATCCCATTCTAATTCCTGTTGTCACTTCAAATTGGCCAGGGCCGTTTCCATTCCCTCCTCAAGCTGCAACAACAACCTTTCTCGGAAAAGGGTAAGTTTCGATTAAGTTGACCCCTTATATACATGCTTTTCATATATCTCAGACAAATTAATAATTTTTTTCGATAAATTTTACTTTTCAATTCTTTAATCTTGTTGGATATTGTAACTGATTTTTAGCGTCTGGAACTGCTCCTGGGATAGATTATTGTTTGCTTCTTGAGTTCTATTTTCAGTTCTCTTGCTTCTTACTGATTGTAGGCTGAAATGTAGTTTGCTACAGAGATGATCATTTAGTTGACAATGTACTATGATCTTCTGCGTTTAGAATCCAATCAGGTTTATGTTCAGTTTTTTGCATTAAGATGCTGAGTAATATGCCTAGCAAATATGATATTTTTCATGAGATTCATAGGATTGCTTTCTAAATCTACGAATTTTAACATCCTCCATTTATCAGAGCAAAGCAATGGCGTAGTGGAGATTGGATATGTGCAAAATGCAACAATCACAATTACGCCTCTCGAGCTCAATGCAATAGGTCAGTTGATAAACTGGTGGCTTTTACCTTTTATTTGCTGGATTATGCAAGCATTGTGATACACAGAAACATGATGCGGTTGATGTGCTTTATACCCTTCAATAATTTGATCATTTGATATCTGAGGCGACTTACAATTAGAATGGAAAACTGCTTATTTGGGGTTGCCTGCACTGGATAATGGCGATTTACTATGTTCTATCGGTGGTTTCTCGTACATTAGTTACTTGAATCGTTGCATGAAAAATATATGATAATTGTATAGTTTTGGTTTTCATTAGTTATGATGGTGAGAATGGTAGAGAGCTTTATATAACTTCTGTATAATACTAAATTGTATAATTTGACCGGTATTTCTTGTATAAATGGTTGAAAACCTTGTACATCTAATTCGTTGGACCGAGATCTAACTTCCATGGCCGCGATTACGAATGATTTCGAGTTTAATTCTTTTTTTCACATGCTGGTTGTTATGATATACTCCTTTCCATCCCGATCATGTTACTATTTTTTTCTGCAAGTAGAGAATACTGTATGTTATCCTTATGTTATGAAGAAGGGATCGGTGGAAGGTGGGAATGTCCGGTGAGGATCATGCTCTCGAATCTTGGATCCCATGAAGGGATTTATCGTTATTAAAATGAGTTAATTATTAAGAGATGTTATAGTGGGAACATTGAGTAGATTTTAGTATTGCTTTTGGATAAGCTTTGAGTTTTATTATCCAAGGGAGCAGCAGCAATGGCTGCTACAGTTGTACATTATACAGAGTTCACCGGTGCATTTCAATATCATGGAGGCTGCTTGTTATATCTTTAGGTAGAAAGAGTCTTAGTTTCTCTGCAGCAAATGTGGTATATGGAGACTGCTCAAGCAATTTGCTAGAAGACTATGGAAATGAAAGCTTTGCCTTTAATGAGAAAATTAACTGTAATATTCGATCTGAATTAGTTTGGTCAATGAATCAAAAGCAATGATTATAGAAAATTATTAAAATTATTTTACAATATGATTTTGGGAATATAATTATAAAAGAAGGTGACATTACAATACATAAGAAATTGCTTGTTAAAATCATCTTTGTAAGATATATTTTTCATATCAAATAATAATCTATTCATTTATTTTCATATTATCATTCATTTTGTAATATTTATCGTTATCTTTTATCCATGTATTTGTAATATAATTTGATTTGATGAGAAAATATGACTTGAATAATTTATTTTGAAAAATGGGAATCAAACCAAGCCAAATACAATGCAAAGAAGCAGTGGACAACAAATTAAAGCTGAAAACACGAAGCATTTCACAATTATTCAGGATGGATTCGCGTATCCAAGCTCACTCAATCAAAAGTGTTCATTCTAGGGGAACATGGTGTCAATTTTGGGTAAATGAAACCAAAAGTTGTGCTGGAACAAAAACAAATAGAGAGCCACCTCGACTGCTGTCGGAGAAGCTACGAATACCCACCGACGCACCTCCCTCATCAGCTTGCCGAGAGAGAGCCTCTGCCCGACTTGGGCAAGTCTTCTCACACGTGAGAGAGAGAGAGGGAGTGGTAAAGACATTGGTAGACATTCGATGAAGAAACACAAGGATTTAAATTACGGTTCAATTGCATTTATCAAGATTATAATAATATTGAATGTTGTTACTATCATTATAGATATTACATTTGTGAAATAATTATTTTATTCGATATTTTTATAATAATCGTTATTCTAATAATAAACTGTTATTTAAGTCTTTTATCAAGCGGTCGTCCGTCAAATAACAAAATAAAGCGTAATAGGTGTAGGGACTTTTAGTTCACTAATTTACTATAATAACTTTTTCCATAAAATATAAGATTTCCCCTAATAATTAGCAGTTTACCTAAAGTATTAAATTGTCAAGTTTAATTAATTTGATTAAGATATAAAATTTATTATATGATTAGTGGAATATAAAATTATTTAAATTTTTTTTTATTAAATACTTTATTATAATATTTTTTATTTTTTAATGAGAAAATATTAATATGAAAATTTGTAAAACGTTTTCTATTGAATTTAAAACTTATTATTCTCATTTTTGTTAAAAATCCAGTGTTTAAATACAGCAATCTTGATTTTTGCTAATATATTACGTTAAATATTATATTTTTTTAGAGTAAATATTCCTTTTAAACAAGGTTAAACACATATTCAAATAATATTTTCTTTTACTTTTAATATTAGGTTAAATTACACCGTTTCTCACTGAATTTTACTCTCTCTCTTATTTTACTCACCGTACTTTTAATTTTTCTATTTTGCTCATTGAACTTTACAGATTAAATCATTTTGCTCACTCTGCCTTTAACTCTTTGATGGTGTGATGATGTGTTATTTTTTATTATTTAATATAAAATAATTAAAAATATAAAGGGTAAATTACATTGTTCCGCTCTGAACTTTATTCTCACTCCTATTTTGCTCACCCAACTATAAAATAAAAACAAAAGGTGGTTGGATGCTACCGTCGGCCACTGTAAACCGTCGTAGATGGTGACCGTTTTGGTCTCGAATTTCATGGGTTCTTGGGCCTCAAAACCTTGAATATGAATTCGACCTCCATTTTGTCAGAACTTGCTCCGAAGTCCAAGAATCGGAGATTGAAAGTGAGAAAGTCGAATTGTTTCAATCGAGATTCAAAGATTTTGGGGACATTTTTCGATAAAACAACCAACAGATTCGGACTCAGGGGGTTCAAGACAAATAGACCCATGAATTTTGAGACTAAACGACCACCATCAATGACGGTCGATGGTGGCCGAAATACAAAATGACGTGGTGGTTGGCGACAACAATGGGAGGAAAGAAGAGGATTCGAAACGACGTCGTTTTGTTTTTCAAAACGACGCCGTTTTGATATTTGTGCCATGTCATAACACCGTTAAAAAGTTAACGGCTGAGTGAGCAAAATGATTCAATCTGTAAAGTTAGTGAGCAAAATAGAAAAACTGAAAGTACGGTGAGTAAAATAGGACAGAGAGTAACGTTCAGTGAGGAACGATATAATTTACCCTTAATATTATTGTCGATAGAAAAAAACGAGGTTATAATGTTGATCAGTGCAATTGTATTATACCAGTCTTCATCTTCTTGTTGTATCTTGTGAGACAATCTTCTATTATTATTACTATTTTATATTTTGGATCATATTTTATCAAATAACAATATAAAATTTTATTATCATAATCAAATGATTCAATTGACACAATTCTTATATTTCTTTTAGGTTGTGAATTTAACTTTTTTTGAATAATTCTTGCGAAAAGGGAAAGTATAATTTTTTTTTCCAAATGAATACAGAATTCACAATCTTAAAAAAGAAAAAAGATTTAAATAAAAAAATTAACCACTTAGGCTAGAAATTGTTAACAAATAGTTAAATACACTTAACTTTAATTATAATAATTTATAATTATATTTTGCTCCGTATCTTGTGTCATCATATCCAAATCTTAATTTTCCAGTTTTCTTCGTGTAAACTTGACATAAACGGAAGCTATATGTAACTGAAAACTCATCACCTAGTCGTTCGTAGTGTTTTTCCCTCTTGGAATTGATTGTTCAAACATCTTCAGTCGACCTGCAGTCCTTTTCTGCTTGAAAACGACCAGATCATTAATTCTTTCATTAGCTCCGACAGCAAGGCAGTGTATCTCTGTTGCTAAAACCAAGGTTTATCTAAGCTTTAAACTTCATAATCACTCGTTAATTAATCTTAATTTACAAGAAACAAGGCACCGACTCATAGGTTTTACACCATAATAATCACCGGTAGACAAGCATCTAATTATACTAGCATGATTCAATACAAGATTTCATCAGATAGAATCCTGTGATCTGCCGGTGTAGGAGTTGAGGCTGAGCTCAAGTGAAGCACGAGCGCCGGTGTAGCCGCCTTCATCGGACCGGTACCAATTCGCCGAGTAGCAGCTATCTGATTGGGGCTTAAGATTGCTGCAGAAAGCATTGATGTGATCTTCGCCGTGCATGGGAAAGAGAGGAAGGGTTTCAATATGTGGAGCAACACCTTCTTCATCATCATCTTCTTCTTCTCCCATGAATCTTTTCTTGTCAAAGAAAGCATAAGATGTAGCACCACCACTGCTGCTACCATACCCATAGTTCCCAATCTGCCCAACAGTAAGCACGCCATTTGAAGAAGAATAACCTGCAAAACAGACAATTCATTGGGGAAAAAAGAACACCAAGAAAGAAAGAGAAATAGAAAACATCAGAAACCAATTACCTGGAGTTATGGTGGGAATGGGATACTTGTTGTTATTATTACCATTAGCAGCAATATTAGGTCTTTGCATGGGGACGTGGTGATCACTAGTTGTGGTGTTGAACCTTTTCTTCTGCCTCTCGCGAGCCTTGTGGTTCTGAAACCAATAAAACACATTCTTGCCTTCGATTTTCCCGTACTGTCTAAGCCGAGCGGAGATCCTCTGAATCTGATCCGCACTGGGGGACCTAACCCCATTGTTGTAGTAAAGTTCTTTCAATATTCTGATCTGCTCAGTGGTGGGTGTCCACCGTGTACTACTCTGCCTACAAACAAACCCTCCTTTCCCACTGTCGCCATTCTCTTCATTTGGCTGTTGTTGGGGTTCCATTGTGGAAGAAAACAAAGAGAATCAAACAAAAGCTTGGATTACAAAGAGAGCGTGTCCATGAAATGGAAAGAGTATATAGGAGGAGAGAAGAAGGGGTACAAGAGAAATATCTGAGAGGTGAAGGACTGAAGTTGACAGAGCGATGTTCATAGAAAGGGAAGTGAAAAAAGAGGCATAGAAAGGGGGGACATCACTGGAATTACTTGGATGAAAAGGCATGACGAGACATGAAATGATGATGATAGAGCTGCCTTGATATAAGAGAAAAAAAAAAGAATGAAAGAGATTGTCTTTGAAAGAATGATTAATGCATTAAATCGACTGCAAAAGCAACATTAATGGAAGAGACGATACTTTAGAAACTTAGGTCGGTTATGAATCCGGAAAAGACGTTATGAAATTATTAGTTTTTTGCTAGTTAAGTTTTTAGATAAATTCTTTTGCTTCTCAGAACCTTCTGAGAATTTATATCCTTCTAGTACAAAAGTATTATGGATTTTTGTCCAAATATAATGCATAAATAAAACTTCTAACATATTACGTGATCTTTTAAGTGAAATCTAAGATTTTATAATCAAATCTATTTAATCAGCTAATTTACAAGTAATCCTATGGCATCAACCGCTTGAGTCACTATATAAATACTTCTTAATCACATGTAGAGAGGATACTGACCACTTTCTGTTGAAAATAAAAGTCTAAAACAATGGTTAGCAGCCGGCGGTTATTGATTCAAAGATGGCTGCAATTTTGGTTGAAATTCGTAGATGGTAAAATTACACATTTAGTCATTGTACTTTTAGGGTATTTTTAAGATTAGTCCTTAAAGCTTATACTATAAATATCCTAGCTCATTTAGCTTCAAAACCATCCCAAAGCATTCTAACTTTCTTCCAATACTAGAGAGAATTTATAGAGTTTCTTGAGAGTTGTTTTCTCATTTTTTATCAAGAGAGAATTATCATTGTTTTCTCCTTGGTCGATTGAGAGAAGTTGTAATTCCTATTTTCTCATAGTGAAATTCTTCTACCGTTGCCCGTGGTTTTTACCCTATATTATTCAGGGGTTTTCCACGTAAATTTTGTGTCTTTTTTATCTTCATTTTTATTTTCTCAAATTATCAGTTGCGATTTTACTCTATCCGATAACCGTCTTCCGCAACAATTGGTATCATAGCTAGATTAGAGTGTGTAATATCTGCTTATTGTCTTTGTGGTTGCCACCAAAAGGTGGATCATCCAATATAAGAAAGTAAGAAGGTATTACCCATTCTTTGAAGGTTCCAGAGAACTATTTACGATAGTGAAATAGTGAGAACTATCCGTAAAATAAGCTATGTCAACGAAATTTGATATTGAAAAATTCAATGGGAGAAATTTCTCATTGTGTAAATTGAAGATGAAGGCAATTCTGAGGAAAGACGGGTGTCTAGGAGCTATCAGTGAAAGGTCGATAGATTTCACAGATGACAACAAATGGATCAAAATGGACGGGAATGTTATGGTAAAATTTCATCTAGCATTAGCAGATGAAGTATTGTCAAGCATCGAGGAGAAGAAGACATCTAAGGAGATATGAGATCATCTCACCAAATTGTACGAGGCCACATCGCTGCACAATAAAATTTTCCTTAATAGAAAATTGTATACTCTCCGTATGCCATAATCTACTTCAGTGACGGAGCACTTAAATACACTGAACACTTTATTTTCTCAGCTTACATCCTTAAGCTGTAAAATAGGAGAACAAGAACGTGTTGAACTTCTACTTCAAAGTCTACCGAATTCGTATGATCAACTCATCATCAACTTGACAAACATTAATGTCACCAGTCTAGTCTTCGATGACATTGCAACTGCTGTTCTACAAGAAGAAAATCGGCGCAAGAACAAGGAAGACATATCTGCAACAAGCAGAAGCGTTGACAACGATGAAAGGGAGATCAACAGAACGTGGCCAAAGCAGCAGTCACAAACATGGTAGATCGAAGTCGAGGAGCAAGAAGAATTTAAAGTGTTACAACTGTGGAAGGAAGGGTCACTTGAAGAAGGATTGTTGGAGTCTTAATAAAAACTCCAATCCATAAGGTAATACCGCAAACACTTCAGAAGATGGAGATGCTCTATGCTGTGAAGCGTCAACCACCGTGGAAGGAAGAAAACGATTTGCAGATATATGGCTCATTGATTCGGGAGCAACATATCACATGACCTCAAGAAGAGAATGGTTCCATCATTATGAACCTGTCTTAGGAGGATCTGTGTATAGTTGCAATGATCATGCCTTAGAGATCATTGGCGTGGAAACCATCAAATTGAAGATGTATGATGGAACAATTAAAATTGTTCGAGATGTGCGGCACGTGAAAGGCCTAAAGAAAAATTTATTATCATACAGATTGTTGGATAATAATGCAAGCAAGATTGAAACATAGAAAGGAATCATGAAGGTGTTCCGTGGAGCGCTTGTGGTGTTGAAAGGTGAAAAGATAGCTGCAAACTTGTACATGCTGAAGGGAGAGACTTTGGTAGAAGCAGAAGCCTCTGTTGCCTCATGTAGTTCAGATTCGACAATGCTATGACATCAGAAACTTGGACACATGTCAGAACAAGGAATGAAAATCCTTGTGGAGCAAAAGCTACTTCCAGGCTTAACAAAGGTATCACTTCCTTTGTGTGAGCATTGCATAACAAGTAAGCAACACCGGTTGAAATTCAACACATCAAATTCTAGAGGCAAAAGTGTTATAGAATTGGTTCACTCTGACGTATGGCAAGCACCAGTAACATCCCTCGGTGGAGCAAAATACTTTGTCTCATTTATTGATGACTACTCCAGGAGATGTTGGGTGAACCCTATTAAGAAGAAGTCAGACGTGTTTTCAACTTTCAAAAACTTCAAAGCGTAGATGGAACTTGATTCTGGAAATATGATCAAGTGTTTCAGAATAGATAATAGAGGAGAATACACAAGCGAAGAATTTGATGACTTTTGCAGGAAAGAAGGCATCAAAAGACAGTTCACAGTGGCGAACACTCCTCAACAAAATGGAGTGGCAGAGCGGATGAACAGAACCTTGTTAGAAAGAACAAGAGCAATGTTGAGAGATGCAGGCCTAGAAAAATCATTCTGGGCAGAAGCTGTCAATACCGCCTGTTATTTGGTGAATCGAGCTCCATCAACTGCATTAGAGCTGAAGACACCAATGGAGATGTGGACTGGTAAACCAGCTGATTATTCAAACCTCCATGTATTTGAAAGTATTGTATACGTGATGTACAACTCCCAAGAAATCTCAAAACTGGATCCAAAATCCAAGAAATGCAAATTCTAGGGGTATGCTGATGGAGTCAAGGGGTATCGCTTGTGGGATCCCACTGTCCGCAAAGTGATCATCAGCAGGGATGTTATCTTTGTAAAAGATAAACTAAAAGGAAAAGAAGACGACGATAGTGCTGAAAAGTTAGAGACTACACAGATACATGTGGAAAAGAAGGTTGAACAATGAGATTCTTCAAAAGCAGAACCAACACATGATGAACAAGAACCAGAGAGTTCTGAAGCTCCAACAACTCGTCAATCAGATCGTGCGAGAAGACGTCCCAATTGGCACTCAGATTATATTATAGAAGGTAATATTGCATACTGCCTTTTAATAGAGGATGGTGAACCATCAACATACCAGGAGGCAATAAACAGCTCAGATGTTTCACTATGGATGATGGCGATAGAATAGGAAATTGAAGCCCTTCATAAAAATAATACATGGGACCTTGTGCCACTACCACAAGGAAGGAAGCCAATTGGTAACAAATGGGTCTTCAAAATCAAGCGAAATGGTGACGATCAAGTTGAGAGGTATCGTGCAAGACTGGTGGTCAAAGGATATGCTCAAAAAGAAGATATTGATTTCAATGAAATATTTTCTCTTGTGGTTCGACTAACAACAGTTCGAGTAGTTTTGGCAATGTGTGCTACATTGAACTTACATCTAGAGCAGCTAGATGTTAAAATAACTTTTCTTCATGGAAATCTTGAAGAAGATATTTATATGCTCCAGCCTGAAGGTTTTGAAGAAGAAGAAAAGAAGAACTTGGTTTGCAGGTTGAACAAATCTCTCTACGGTCTAAAGCAGGCGCCGAGGTGTTGGTATAAGAGATTTGATTCCTTCATTATGTGCCTTGGATACAAAAAACTTAATGCAGACCCTTGTGCTTATTTCAAGAGGTCTGGTGATAACGATTTTGTTATATTGCTATTGTATGTAGATGACATGTTGGTTGTAGGACCCAACAAAGATCATATTGAATAATTGAAGGCACAAATGGCTAGGGAATTTGAAATGAAGGACTTAGGATCAGCAAACAAGATTCTAGGGATGCAAATTCACCGAGACAGAAGTAATAGGAAGATTTGGCTTTCACAAAAGAATTACTTGAAGAAGATCTTGTCACGATTCAGCATACAAGATTGTAAGCCAATTTCTACCCCTCTTCCTATTACCTTCAAATTATCCTCCAGTATGAGTCCTAGCAGTGAAAAAGAGAGGATGGAGATGTCTCGAGTACCGTATGCATCAGCAGTGAGAAGTCTAATGTTCGCTATGATATGCACAAGACCAGACATTGCACAAGCAGTGGGAGTGGTTAGTCGGTACATGGCAAATCCAGGCAAAGAGCATTGGAATATTGTAAAGAGGATCCTAAGATACATCAAAGGGACCTCAAATATTGCATTATGTTACGGAGGATCAAACTTACTAATCAATGGTTATGTAGATTCTGACTATGCATGGGATTTGGATAAAAGCAAATCTACTATAGGATATGTGTTCAAAATTGCTAGTGGAGCTGTAAGCTGGGTTTCAAAATTGCAGTCAGTTGTGGCTACATCCACAACAAAGGCAGAATATGTAGCAGCTACACAAGCCAGTAAAGAAGTAATTTGGTTGAAGATGCTATTGGAGGAGCTTGGGCACAATCAATAGTATGTCTCTTTGT